GATGTATTCAAGTTTTACTTCGATGCGCCTGAAAGGCCTCTGACTAGGAGAGGGATTCTATCTATAGTTTCTTCTCTGTTCGATCCTTTGGGTTTAATTGCTCCAGTCTGTCTTACTGCCAAGGTTCTCTTGCAAAAACTATGTAAGTCTCAATTAGGCTGGGATCAGCCTCTCAACGAGCCATACATGTCGGCGTGGCTAAATTGGGTAAACTTTATGCGTCAAATAGGTCATGTTACGGTAGATAGGGGTATCAAGAAGAGAATTGACGAACCCGACGCGGAAGTAGAATTGCACCTGTTCAGTGACGCTTCAGAGATCGGTTACGGAGCAGTCGCGTACGCTCGAGTCAGTTATTTGAAGGAACAACCCTACTGTATTTTGTTATACAGCAAGTCTAGGGTAGCACCTATCAAACAGGTCACTATACCGAGGCTAGAGATGGCAGCGGCAGTGTTAAGTGTGAGGCTTAGCGAAGTCTTACAGAGAAGTCTGCCTAATTTTTTCTGTAAGGTAAACTTCCATACAGATTCCATGGTAGTGTTGTACTACATCAAGAATATCGAGAATCGCTATAGCACCTATATAGCCAACCGTCTCGCCATTGTGCATCAGTATACGAAGATTGAACAATGGAGTTATGTAAAGTCGTCACAGAATCCAGCTGACTGGACCTCGAGAGGTATACAAAAAATGTCAGATCTTGAGCTTTGGTTCAAATGTCCTACCTTACTGCATGGCGAATTTTGTACAGCAATCACTGACTGTCCGGAACCTACTCCTGACGATATTGAGTTTAGAAAAACTGCCGTGGTTAACTTGAGTAGTATAAAGTACAACATGTCACCTATTCTCGCTTATTATTCTGAGTGGTTGAAATTAGTCAGGGCCGTAGCCTCGCTTAGAAGGTTCATAGAATTTCTGATGGTGCTTCGTTCACCGAGTCATGAAGGATCCGTTCATCTAGGGTGTTTAAAGGTCAAAGAACTTGACGTCGCCAAGCGTAAAATTTTGTTGATGGTTCAAAAAGAAGTGTATGGAGAAATACTTAGTGGATTTAAAACCACTGGTAAGGTAGTTAGTCACAATGATCTGAAGGGCTTATCACCGATAATGCTCGATGGGTTACTCTGTGTTGAAGGCCGACTAAGCTACTCAGATTTCTCAAATGCCTTTAAACATCCAATAATATTGCCCAGTCGACACTTAGTGACAGAAATGATAATTAGACATTATCATAAGGAACAAGGGCACACAGGAACGTCACAAGTACTGGCCACGATTCGAAAAAGGTATTGGATAATAAAAGGAACCAGCACGGTTAAGAGAGTGATAGGAAAGTGTGTGACATGCCGGCGGTATACGATGGTTACAGGGCAACAATTGATGGCACCACTTCCAGCTTGTAGAGTGCAACAAGGATGGTATAGCTTCTCAGCCGTGGGAGTAGACTACTTTGGACCCCTTTTTGTCAAAAGAGGAAGATCACTAGAAAAAAGATATGGATGTGTATTTACTTGCTTGCAAACCCGAGCAGTACATATTGAAATGACACATAGTTTAAATACTGATTCGTTTATAATGGCCTTGCTACGTTTCATTGGAAGAAGAGGGAAACCTGCAGAAATTTACAGTGACAATGGGTCGAATTTCGTGGGTGCGGTCTCTGAACTAAAGAGATTTGTGCAACAGTTGAATCAGCAAAGGATAGACAAGGAACTGTCAGCTAGACAGATTCAGTGGCATTTTAACCCGCCCTCATCCAGCCACAGGGGTGGGGTGTAAGATCCATTTTGAATGTTTTGTGTGTTTGTGAAAATCCCTCCATGTACATACTTGCGCTTAGTTCCTATTGATCCCTTTAGTTGTACATTGTTAGTTTTTGATTACATTTGAATTGTTAATATTTGTATTTTATTATAGTTTTCGTTTTTACTACACCTTCACTAATTCCCCATGTTTCTTCCCGAACTGCACTTATGTTGTTTTACTTTATACTAAGTCTGGGCGGCAGCCATTTTGGTTTGTTCCTGCTTTTGATTGCTCGACCTGTGTTGACTGGAATTGTGCATTTTGGTTGTGAATTGAAGCACTCTTCCAGAATTGAAAACACTCTGTGTTATAGAGCGACCAATTATTACCTTTTGAACGGATCTGTACGTGATCTATCCAGACAGGATAGAATAACAGTTATTTGTGGTGATTGTTTAGATTTGATCAATTGAACAATTATTGGTTGGATAGCTGAGTGGTTATATTTGTTTAGAACCGCTATCTTACCCAATTACTTGTTTTGGTTTCAATCGGGCGAGGGCGCGTATCTAACTCATCCAGACAGCTGTCCAGCAGTCCAAACGTAGTTTGGATCTTACATACGTATATTTACTACAATCGTTTATCCAAACAGACGATCAGGGAAACGAAGAGAATAAGGCGGAGAGAGAAGAATGAAGCGAAACGACGCCCAGTGAAGAATGCGAGTGAGCCAACTTCATTTAATGAAATGTGACTCAGTATTTATATTTAGACAAAAGTAAGTTACAGACACGATAAATAGAGTGAGTAATTAGCACACATATGATCGTATAAAAACGGTCAGGGCTGATAGGCGAATAACTGATGAGGTCAAAATGTGGTTTGAGAAGAATAAACAAAATGGTCTGACCAGAAGCTAGAATAACCTATGTGGGCTTGACAGTGTCAGCCAATACAAAGCCTCCGGCAAAAAATGCGAGTGATAAAAATACCTAATTACCAAATAAGTCTATGTTAACTATCCTCAAAACTTCGAAGCAGTAATTAGAAGCTAAACGACATGTCAAGAAGTGTGTGAGCTAAGCTGACTAGTTGTCGCGAGGGGTGCATCATACGACATACCTAATGGTTATCTAGTGCAGATGTGTGAAACATCATTTTCAGATATAGTGTGTCCAGTAGAACACATAAGGTCAAGGTCAGTCTGGGAGACTTGCAGAACTATTTGTTCTGGGGATTTATTTGCAGATATACGTATTCTATCCTTTCGAAAACATCTATATTTAGGGAGGGAGTATGCACATATAACATCTCAGCGAATGAATTTAAAGTAAATCTCACGACAATCTGGTTCAAGCTATTTCTAGGAAATATAGTCAGACATCAAAATTATTGAATATAAATAGGTACATGGTTGTTCGGTTAACTGTATACTTAATAAGTCATCGAATCACGTTAATAATATTTAAAGTCGGTATTTGCCTGAGTGTGCATGACACATGTGGTGTTAAACGAAAAGTGTGTAAAGATAACAGAGTGTGTGCATTCCTAAGTGGATTTGAGGTGTGAGAAGAAGTTTCATTGACCACGTATCGCCTCTGATCGGTGTATCTTTAAGCAACGATACGATTTTTATGTACGATATGAATCACATATCACAGCAGGCATAAAATGAAGATAGGTAAACAAAATAAAAACGAAGAAACGAATATTTGTGTTATTTTATTGTTCTCATTAGTTTTCCATCATATCCATATAGAAAAACCATGTAGAACAGCTGAATTTAATTGTCGTTGTTTATATAATAAGTGATGTATCAAATGGGATGAGTTCAGGTTTACATATTAATTATTATTTGCCGTGGGACAGGTTATTATATTCTACCTCTCCTATTATTACTATCCGGATTTGCCCATGTGTAGAGCTTCGGTTGCTAGTCTTTCTATGTAAAAATTAATACCTTTTGAGGGATCCTTGTGCCACTGAAATCAGTTTTATGACCCAACTCTATTGATAGCTTTATCTTAAAGATGCTACAAGTATTTGGAATTTGATGATACCTTCTAGCGTGGGAACGAGTCGCGGTAGACTATGAACACCACTACAAAGGAACGTGTGCCAGGATATCCATAAAATCCCCCGGAATCCAAATATCAGAAGGCAGTTAATGGAACAAGTCGACATTTATTTGCTGGCGATCTCGTGGTATCGAAAGAATACCGAGGTCGTGCCACGATACAAACTTGCTTACTGAGCGTAACCGGATTCGCGCGAGGTCACAATCGAAGTAAGTATAATGGCTGTTTTTAGCCCAGTTAAACAAAGAGCACATCAAAACAAGCACAGGTACAATTGGTCACAATAATAATAATTGTTTTCATTAAACCAATCGTGTTCTCGTGATAAAAGTAAGTCACTACAACTTTAACCAGTAACACCTATAATCAAAATTTGTCAACCCAGTGAAATCATAAGTCCGAAGCGAAATGGTTCGGAGATATATTTGATAGGCTATTAATTTGTCATGAAGTGACTGATCTGAGCTGATTAGCGGTTGCAGCAGTTGAGCACAGCCTACCTGCTCGTGATCTGGTGCAGATGCATGACCAAACGCCTTCATTTAAGCGGGTTCATTAAGACTAATGTGGTCAGCATCAAATTTAGAAGACCTGCAGAACAACTGGTTTTAGGGATTTGTATACTGCTACAACCTCTCTACAATTCAATGGTTTCGATGTTTGATTATATTTCTTTGAGAAAGTTTAGATCATATTGTCAAGTAAAACGATGGATTTACTACAAATCTATCCGCTTAGATTTGAAAAATGTATTCTTATTCTTTAAAGTGTCTCACATTAGCTCGGCGTCCAAAACTGTTCTTATGTCTCTATATTTAGTCATTCTTATGTGGTTGCTGATAAACAATACCATTTTCTTTGATTTTGATCCCGACTATTCCACTCCTGGCATGGCAGTGTCGGGTTACGCGTGTGTATTAGGCTCTATATTAATTATAACCGACTGACAAGCATAACTGAATCATTCCACTAGCTATAAAAAGGGAAGTTACCTGATCATAGTTTACTTTATCAAACTGTGCTGCAGAACTCTATTGTCACATAAAAAAGCAAGAATAACGAAACTAGACAGTCTATAATTGCTCGACTCTTATATAGTGCGTATATTGATTTAATAGTGACGGATATTTCCTCTCAAGCGCGGGTGTTTTGGGTGCTTGGTTAACTATGGCAACTGGTTCATCAGACAGCTTGTTGGATTCAGATAATGAGTCCGAGCGGCACCGTAAATGTTCTACCTGTTCTTCAAGGTTAGCTTATGAATAATATGACCACCCTCACTTGCTACTTCGCTTGAACATTTTAAACGATTCATATTATAAATTGCTCGTGATTTATGTAGGCTTTTTGTCGTATAATACAAAGCTTAGAAGCATGGAATTCCTTCCTGAAGTTGAAGTTATTAGGGAGAGTAGCACTACTTTTTTCAATTGTCTGATGCAGAATAGCTTTAAGAAACTTCAAGTTTCTATATACTTTAAATGTAAGACATGTAGTTTTTGTTGTTTAGTTGTTAACATTTCGATAGATAATCTAGTGTAGAGGGCTTGTATTTAAGCTTCCTCATAAATCCTCTTGGTCCTAGCCCGAATCTGTCATTTATGCGTTTTAAAGCAATTTTCAGTGTCTTGCGTTCAGGATCAATCTTAAGACTAATATTCAGGAAAGTACACAAAAACCACAATTCGTAACACGAGTTGTTTGCATCCGCTGCAGATTCTTTCTTGCACTAGTGGTCGTTGCCGCCCCATCCATATTTTAGATGTATTTGTAGGATTAAGGTTGAGTAGGTTGATAACTATTGTTCCCACCACGTAAATTTTGTTTCGGTGGTAGTTCGTGCCAGGAAACTGTTACTAGAGAAGATGAAGCTGTAGCCTGCTCTCATACCAGTTAACTGGGACTGTGAATGGGACAATTGGATTAGCAGAACACTATTGAATTATGATGCACATAACAGATGCTAACATTATGGGCTTTAGAATATTGTCATATCGATACCAGATCACGGTACTGTTTTTTTAAAACTAAAGGCTGTGTTTGAATCAGTTGACTGACAGGCTTTGTTACTGTGTTTACAGTCCAGCTTTCTAAATGCCCCTGTCACTATACTGATAAGCATCTCAGCTACTCGTAACTATACCCATCTGTACAAAACCCATCAGGTTCGGTGATAGTATTTATTGACGTTGATCACATTTATATAATATATGTCACCGTTTAGTGTTAATCAGTCTTATAACAGCTTCCACCATTATTTATATCACTTTCTTTTATCTTATTACACTGCATTTGATCGATTGATTAGTAACTTTTCATATTATTTCAGTTGCATTAGTTGTTGTCGAAATTGTCGAGGTCCAAAAGTTTACCATGCTCGTGTAGTTAATGTTGGTAGACCATCGAAGACTCAGAAATTTCCTTCGAATCGGATCAATAATCAAAAGTATAATGTAATAAGTTTCATTCCTTTGGTGAGTGTAGCAGTTACGTTTTAAAGTTGACTAGATTTTGAATTAGTGCTCATTTAACCTTTGGTATTAATTCTACTTACATAACGGTAGAGCATCTCCAACTTGAATCCTGATAATTACCAGTTAACTAGATCGATTTATACTTCAGTGTAGTTCATTTACACCATTAGCTTAGAAATATCATAAACAGTTTTTCAAGTGTAATTTTCTTATTAAAGTTATATTGTAGATAATGGGTATGTTGAGCTGTGGCCTAGTAATTAAGCCGCCTGACTGTCAACCGGGTTGTTGATACGAACTATGCACCGTTACTTCGGTTCGGGAAGTCCGGGGGTATCAGTGACTATCATACTTAGGTTGACTCAAAGGTGAGTATGAGTTTATCCCTATACAGTATAGATAAGGAGAATTTGTGACGGTCTATTGGTTTTGTTAGGGACTATGCTCATCAGCACTATTATGAATCAAATTTAAAAGTACTCTTTATTTTTGGCTACTAGTTGTTCTTAATACTGTGTTTTTATACTCTATTTGTTTATAAATGCCTTTAACTGTATATTTTGAAATTACTCTGATTTAGAAGAGTTAATCGATAAATAGTAGTTAAGGGAATTATTTCACGGGTATAGTTTGACTAATCCATGTTAACTCTACTTAAAGAGCATTTGTTTCAGTTGCTGCGTTCCGAAAGATTGTAGGTACAGCAAGCGGAGAACCTAATAATTGTTAATTAAAATTGTTTTTACTCGTTATTAATCTGTAGCCAATGTTTCAGCAAACTATATTTTTTGTGAGATTTAGTCCTAAACCGCTTAATGTTGTGATGGGAGACTTACACATTCACATAAACTTATTAGGAATCATCCTGAAACCAAGGATACACAACACAGTTTTGAACCACTTGGGAAATAAGAATGTTTGTAAGGTTTCATATACACCAGATTGGTGACTACCAATAGTACTGAATTGCTGTTTGAGGATATCCTGAAAATTTATTTGTTCATATCTGAAAGCTTGTTTGGTATGGGTTTACTATTTGTACAACATAGTTACAAATTTATAGGCTGTTACTTCTGTGGTTTTCGTGTTTTCACTAATTGTTAATAGCGAATCTATGTGCTTCATTTGTTTGTACTTTTCAGGTTCTTTTTGAACAGTTCAGTGTATTTTTAAATCTCGTCTTCCTTGTAATTGCATGTAGTCAATTTATTCCCGAACTTGGTGTGGGTCGTCTGTACACATATTGGGGGCCACTTGGTTTTGTGATTGCAATAACCATGATTCGAGAAGCGGTAGATGACATTGGAAGATGGTCTCGTGATCGCGATGTCAATATGGCTGTCTATGGAAAGTATGTCCGCAACAAAGAAGTTTCCGTTATGAGTTCAGATATCAAAGTAAGCCTTCTTGAACATTGTATTGAATTGTGTATTGAGTTGTGCTAATTAAAACACTTGTAATCCCAAGTGTACGACCACTGCAAACCAACTTTTCATAATCCGTCAGTGTATATAACTCATAGTAATACTGGAACTTTGGTTGACCCACACTACTCAAAACGACTCTTAAAGAGACCCTACTCATTGTCTTCCCTTAGCGGGTTGTCTTTACAAAAGTGAGAGCCGTCGTCCAAAGACTGCACTGGAGAAGTAGATACAGTGAGTCAATCTAACGAAGTTAGAGAATCTTGATTCTGAACCAATGGTCCTCACAGACTAAAGGATCATATGGCGATGAATGCTGTACAGAACTACTCTAGTCACGGGGCACCACGGGATTGCGTCTCTTGATATTGCCAGACATCTTGTGCATCAGACCAAAAGATCGGAAACTTGTTTGAAGCGTTGTGACTTTTAAGGAAACCACCTCTGTCGGTTTAGGTACCTATTATCAATGCCTTCACACAGTTGGTAATAATTACCAATGATGCTAATGATGTGGTCACGTTGCACACTAAGACTCAGTAGTGATAAAAGTCAGTGAATTTATTATACCCACATTTATTTTTCATCACTTACTCGCTACTCCGTTTTATTTTCATTTGAGTTCTACTTATTTCTACACTAATTCTACTCTTTAATATATCAGATAATTTCTTTTGAAAATTGTTCCAATCCCAAACGGTTTTATTTCATTGAATGTTTGCTGTCTGGAAGCTATTACTGACTACGATGTCTGATATATGTATTGTGAAAAGATATGTACCTTTTAAACTTCTCGCCCTAGTTTTTTGCTTGTTGATATAGATTGGGTACTAGAGGGCGTTTGCTTAAACTCTGTAGTGTCTCACTATCGACGTATACTTTATCTCTGAAACTTTTAATTTGGGCTCCAACCAACCATTGTAAATTTCTGTTCCATTTATCGATTTAAAAACAGGTTCTCCATGTACTTATCTATAAATCCTGTGACTGGTGTTCAACCTTGTCAAAATGGAGAGAACACTTGGTTGTATTCACGTTAACAGTTGTTTTTTGGGTTGTTAGGCTAGATAGTTCAATCAGAGACCAAAGAAACCGGCTTGAAAAACGTTGTTTTTTCCTCGTCTCTGTCTATGCACCGTCAGAGGGCTGCTTAGATGAGGCAAATGATGAATTCTGCTGTCAAATAAATGAAATCCTCAACAAGACGCACTTGACAGATGTTGCTTTGCAACCTGAGGACCTAACTGCCTAGATGCACGTTTAAACTCAGAAGGGGATGTTTTGGGTCATGAGTTTTCACTTACTAATCTCAGGTTAAATAATAGGAACTGTTTTCAACTTTGCTTAAATCGCAACTCATTTTTTAAAACCAGTACTGACTTTCGACAAAATCATCTCCAATTTGTTACCTGATATTTTGACCATGTAGTTCGAGTGGTTGTGTTGTAGTTGTCTACCGACTGCACAAATATGCAAAAGACTACTATTCCCTTTGGAAAACATTTCGGGATTCTAATCGTACCATAGTATGCACTGAACTCATATGTCCTCGTGGCCAACAGGTTCGTCACCCTAAATAGAATAATGTGAGTTGGGCAGAAGTCCAACTGACTCCGCCTCAGAAAAATTAACAAGACTATCCTAAGCCCTTCAATAGGTGACGACCAATGACCCACCTAACTCAGCAAAGGTTCGGGGATAACTCAGACTTTTGGATTGTTACGCTTCATTCTTCTTTATAAAGGTAAATTGCAACCTGTAACTGATCTAAATTTGTTTCATCTACTTTTTCCACCCAAACTCTGTTTCTAATAAACACTATTCTATTTTCGTTATTTATTGAATAAATGACCTTTCCTCCTGTTCCTTACAAATTCATAGTTTTACTTCGTACAGCCCTCTATGTTTCATAGCCTCGGAAACCTTATCTAAACAACCATTAATTGTTAGGAATGTCGAGAACCGTGAAAGTAACTGTATTCTTTTTTTAATTAACATTTTTAAAATCTTAATTCACAATTTTTCTATATCACAACGTACTTGTTTTGTGCTTGTTACCAAATTAACCTGGTATCTTTCTGTTGGTTAAGTTTAATGTATTTAATACTTGTGCTCTGAATTTAGTGTTTCACAGTTAGTATTCGTTTTTCGGTTATAATAGGTTGGTGATCTTATTCGTTTAGAGAAGAATCAACGAGTTCCAGCAGATATGATCTTAATATGGACATCAGATCGAAATGGTTCTTGTTTTATACGGACAGATCAACTTGACGGTGAGACTGACTGGAAATTACGTTATGCTATACCAACTACACATGCTTTTGTCAGCCGTACTGGTCATCCAAGTTCATTGTGGGATATGGAAGTAAGTGTATTGACTTTTCTCTGTCAGTTCAAATTTATCATTTGAAATTAACAGTGTTCGTAAGTTTCGGAAGAAAAAAGGACCTAAATAATTGATACAACAAAACTGATAGTAGAATAATACTTCCATACTCCTTATTGCCCAATAAATTCTAAACACACTATCAGCTAACCTATTTATTCCAGCTTTAATGATGATGATTTTAAATTGTTTGTTGAGAAATAGAGAGGTTCTTCCTTTTGTTTTTACTGATTTATACCAACTATAAGTTTGTATCTTGTTGTTCTTTCGTGTACCTTATTTGACTAACTGTGCATAAATGATTATTTCACACACTGTTGGTGAAGCTTGATAAGTAGCAAAGGCTACAGATCAGTTGTTTGAATCTTGTTCATTAGTTAATTAGATTGATATATTTACTGTGACAACTGAAACCGGTGTCCCAGTATGCTCAACGAAAAATCACAATAATGCTATTAATGATGAAGTATTTGTGTTTGTACTGATCATTTGTAATAGTTCCAGAACAAATGCTGTCGAGTGTTGAGTTTAGTTAATCATGAGATTGCATGGGATAAATAATGAGTTGGGTACTTGAAAATAAAATATATGTACGATTTTCATTCATTATTATGTGTTGTTTCATGATCCTGGATTACAAAACTACCAACTTCGCTTGACGTTTTAACTGGCACAGCTCTTAATTAGATGTATTATCGCTTTATTTGAAAGAGTCTTGATTTAAGATTGGCTATCAGTTGTTAGCCAAAAGTTGCCATGGTTGACTCCAATTTAAACTGTTTATTAGTTCGTTGCTTCTATAGACTCGTGTGTAATTCTTTACTTTTGACGTTATCGTTATATTAGAAACATGACTGACATTTGTATTTATGCACGATCATTTCACAAAAATCTGACCCTTCACTGTGGAATGAATAACTTTTTTATAGTCACTTAATGGCTTGTTCTCATAGAAGAGGTTAAGTAATAAGTAGGCAATACTTATATCTGTTTTTTTACTACACTTCAAGACCACTCACTAGGTCCCTCCATAGGAAAATTTATTCGATTGGTTATAGCAACTGAGCCTCGAACATCACTTTTTTTGTTATGTACCAATGAGTAGAAGAATTGTATTTCTCTGAAGAAGTGGCTTACATTAAGTCACGAAACGTCAGAAATACAATTTTTCTACTCATTGGGACATAACAAACAATACATTTATTACTAACTCTTTACCGAATTCTCATTTTATTTTATTTTTTGTTTCTAAAGTCACATCAATCTAATTACATGAAAAACAACCATTCATATAGACTAGTCGATAATAGAATGTTACCGGTTTTCAAGAAATTCCTAATCAACATCAAGAATTTGATAAATTTGAAGTGAAGGGAACTATAGAGAAATATTTTAGCTTGTTATTTATGTATAATGTGATAGAAACTATTTTAAGTCGTTTAACATTCTAGTAGAATTTTAATTCTTAGATAGATGGTGTATGACAGAATTTAACTGTCACCAACTATCTTATTTAAGAAGATAATGACATGTTAGGCTTGTCTTTGTTTATGGAGTTGATTTCTTGAATTTCCACTAATCTGTTTTTCAAATTATATAGATAAGGGGAAAGTCTTACTTCATGTACTACTGCCCAATATTCAATGTCCTGTATTCATATTTTTCTATTTCTTGTGTACTATTCAGGCTCAAGTTTATGCTGAAGCGCCGAGACAGAGTATACATAATTTCGAAGGAACGTTCGTTCGTACAGATGTCAATCCTACTTCACCAACAGATTCTGAAGCATCAGAAGTTTCATTAAATATTGATCACACACTCTGGTCCAACACTGTACTGGCTACTGGAAGTGCTATTGGCTTGGTCATATACACAGGATCAGAAACACGTGCAGTAATGAATTCAAGTAGAGTACGCACAAAACGTGGGAAAATCGATCAAGAGATTAACAATATCACAAAACTCTTATTCTGTATCCTAGTACTTCTAGCTCTTATCATGGTTGCATTGAAAGGTTTCAGTGGATCTTGGTATAAGTATTGGTGGCGTTTTGTTGTTTTATTCTCTTACATTATTCCTCTGGCGTAAGTGTTTTCTTTCTTTTAGATAAACATTTTGTACTTGCATGAATTATTTTTTTGTGCACAAGTTTTCTTAATTTTAAAATACATTTTATAGAATTCCATAATTACCCCGAATGCCTTTGTACGGCCGAGAGTGGAGAGAATCAACTCTCCCTCTCTAAATGCTCTCACATGGCCACATGCATACAACCACTGTCAGGGAATTCCTTCTCACCGCCTTCTCGTGGCAGGGGTGTTGTTTACGAAATTAAGAAGTCGAGAAGCGAATATCCGGCGCTTTAACCGGGTTGGTGGACATGGAGTATCTACCTAGGAGAGTTGGGCTCCAGGATCTTGAGGGACCAAATGGTGTATGAACCAGCTGTTGGTCACCGGTTACAGTGGGACTGCATCTCCTGACGTTGCTCCACTGCCTTATGGACTAGATCTATAGGTCGAAGGCTTTGGGTGTGGCCTCTAAGAACAACACCTGTTTCGGTTTGGGCACCCAGCCCTCACACAAACCAAATGATTTATGTGGCGCATATCTATCTGGTGCCTTCTTGTACCTATGTTTATGTGTTTAAATAAATAATAAATAGAATTTTATTCATGGCATAGAAAGTTTGATAAATTTGTACATCAATACAGTCTCGGAACATAAAGGTAGAATGATAACATTGTGAAGAAATAGAGAAGAGGTGAAGATCGATAAATATAGGAGTGAAAAATGGTGTTAATGCAAGAGAACAGTCTAATTAAACCATAAAACAAATTAGATCCCATTCAGTTGTAGGATGCATCCTATTTTTAAGATAAATGCAGTAGAAATATGCAATGAGATCGTTACTCGCTTCTATTCTGAGCCATATCAGGTAAAGTCTCACGCTACTTAGTTGTGTAATATTTTTGACTGCAGTTGGACATTAATAAGGAACGAATCAGCGGGTCCTAGTCCGACAACCATCCTTCATTCTATGATAACTTCTCCCCTTTTTTCATGAAGTTAAGGCGTACGCAAGTGGATGTTCGTGAAACGTGTAATTCTTCGTAGATTGTGTTTCGAGGCGATGAGACTAGTCAGCTTATCGATACTGCTTAAGTATAGATTGCCAGACATCAGAATCACTTACATGGTGTTACTACCATATGTGAGCAATCCTTTGGCGACAACAGAAGAACTAATGGCCAACTAGTTAAATGTGACATAGGTTGTTCACGAGTCAGGGGGTAGCACGACAATGTCACTTTATTTGTTAAGGAAGTCTAGTGAGATTCTGAAGCTCTCACTATATTCATAGATCCTCGGTAAGTCATCTCAATATCACCCTAATACAGTAATAAGCGAAGAAAACTTGATTGTCCACGATATATTCGTGCGCGATGACGGTCAACGAAATCAAAGGTAATGTAAAAGGAAGTGATGCTTGATAATGCCAGACAGTTTAGATTTATCAAGGTTGTTTTTTCTAAATATCGCGTACTCACATCGACTGTAAAACCATTTCGATTCTTTTGGACTTTTTTTCACGAGCGGGTCTTTTTCTTTGAATGTTTGAAAACATTTAACTTCAACCGGCTGATGTTACATAAATATGTTCGGTGGCTAGCAGTAGTATCCAGGAGCTTGTTTCGTCCTACTTGGGACTCATCATCAGGATGTACCTTTATTCCGGAGTTAATGTTCACTCCTGGACTCGAACCCAGTACTTTCTACTTCAAACGCCATCGCGTCATTCACTTAGCTACTGAGTCCTGATAACCACTTGCTCGTGCAATGCGGTGAATTTATATATAAATATATATATATATATATATATATATATATATATATTCTAGCTTAGGTTAACTCTACTGACTGTTACTATTCATTAGGTCTGAAAGTTTGTGGATTCGAACATTGTAGGGATCAACATTTAATACTGATGGTGTATCCCAAATTTAATTGAAAATGGTTCTTAGGTGATTCCTTACTAGGTGTTTGTCAAAGTGTTTACGTTCCAGAACAACTCATTTGTGGTATAATTTTTATTTGTGAGGCTTTATTTTACTGTAAAGAATCCATCGTTCATTATTATTATTATTGTTATTATGAAATCTTTAATTCTTCCAGTTTGCGTGTTAATATGGATTTGGCAAAAATCGTATACTCTTTTATGATAATGCGCGACAAATCCCTGCCAAACTGCCTTGTTCGTAATACTAATATACCTGAAGAATTGGGTCGTATTTGTTATTTAATGTCAGATAAAACTGGTACACTTACACAAAATGAAATGGTTTTTAAAAAGCTACATTTAGGCAGTGTAGCTTTTGCATCAGATTCCATGGAAGAGGTTGTTCAAGGATTGCGTAATCATTTCACTGCTGGTTCCACAATCGGTAATTTATCAGATCAATTAACTCGTCAAATTCGTCGTACAACCAATGAACGTATGGCTGATGCAGTATTAGCCTTAGCTATATGTCATAATGTTACACCGATGACAGAAACTTATTCAAATCCTGGATCAATTGATGTACCAGGTGGAGAGAGTAAAGAAGCTATGGCTATGGTAAGTAATGTACGATTAAATAGAATTCAGAACCGTTCATTTTTGTTTTATCGATCGAACCGAAATACTGTGCTGTTAATGACCGATCTCTTTTTCTCCCCACGAAATTTGAAGAGTGATCCTTGGAACAGATTGGATTAGTTGCACATTTTAATAGGGCTTGGACGTTTTTAAGACCTAGAGTGATCCGTCTTTGACAATATTGACTCCATTCATTGCTTGCAGTCATATCTTGTTTTTATTTTATGGTGAAATCATCAATCTCGCTGTACTATCTGTTCGTTCAGTTAGATATACACGAGTCTCAGTCAGCCTCACACTGCATGCCTATTGATTCAAAAGGTAGAATATGATCTTCTAGTCCATAAACATTCCTTATACTTCGGGGTTAGTAGGTTTAATCCAGAAGGAAGTCAACTTTAAAATGTACACTCTAATTTTGATTAGTATCCGTTAATCAAGAGATTGATATTTTTAAGTGAATACTCCTCTGTCAATCAAAGTGACAGGTGTTGGATTGCAATTTCAGTGAAGGCATTGAAACTGGTTGAAACAAAGCATCCATTTTTAATTCTGTTGTTATACCTAACTTCTTACATGTTGTAGATTCGGCGATTTATAACTCTTTAGGATGTTGTTGAAAGTTTTTTGTTTAGGTAAACACATTTAAACTGGTTTTGTATTAAAGTAGAGCATAATGATGTTTTTGTCTGTAACGACGATAGAATTCTTGGAATTATAAAGCCAAATATGTATGTGAATGTCATACAAATTCAAGTAATTTTACATCTCAACGTGTTGTAATTAATTGAGAACAATCAATTGAACGTATATTTATCAACCCGAAAATTAAATCTTTATGTAGTAATAGGCTATAAGCTATGTATGTTGTGTTGAAACTCACTGGAGACAATGATGTACGGTGGCGCAACTTCGTGAATTGGTTGGAATTAGACATTAACACCGTTGGATGCCCGCTCGGTGGTCTAGTTAGTTAGGCACCTGGCGCGAGACTGACAGGCCCTGGGTTCGAATCCCGCTAGGCGGGGTCGTGAATATGCACTGCTGAGGAGTCCCACAACAGGACGAAACGGCCGTCCAGTGCTTCCAGGTTTTCCATGGTGGTCTAGCTTCAATTGACTCATGATCCCAACTGTTTAAAATAATAAAATATGATGACAAAAGTCTTATCAATAGCTAAACGTTGGAAATAGAAGGTCAAACGTGGGTAAATAGACTTGGAATAGTCATCACAAAACATTAAAATCATTATGTAATAAGAAGTGTGTAACTAATTAAATAGTGAAGAATATAAACGGAAAGAGGCGGAAAATTACAAAAAAGTACTAGATGTGAAAACAAGGTTAATGATAACAAAAATAGAATAGAATAAATAAATAATAATAGTAACAAAAATTTAAAAAATCGTTAGTTAAGTTAGAACTGGTCATGGAAGGGGTAGGTGGGTTACGAATCTCTTCTGTACGCATAAATTGGAGTTATATGTACGAATTCCTATGGCTTCAGCTATATGTAGGAGGTGGGAACGAACTCCGTTGGGAAATGATGGAGCTATACGATAGGTCACTCGTAATGATTTCGGTTTATCTACAGTATGACCGCTATCAATAACATGTGCCAAGATAGAACTGCGTATTGTTTTTATCTGGCCCTTTATAAACAACACATTATATATTGGGTGTATTCATAATTTTCTAGGTAGAATTATCTGATCCCATTGGTTATCAAGCTAGTTCACCTGATGAAGTAGCTCTTGTTTCATGGACTGCAACTGTTGGTGTAACACTTGTGTTTCGTGACTTGCACAGAATGCGATTACGTCTACCTAATGGTATGTTCTCTCTTCTATTACATTTATGACATATTCATACTAATTGATAATTTAATTAGCCTACTAAACCTAATTATCAATATATTGTCCTAAATGTTTTACGTTTTCTTTTCTTCAGACTCTTTTGTTGAGTATGAAATCTTGAATTTATTTCCATTTTCATCGGAATCTAAACGAATGGGTATTATTGTACGTGATTATTCATCCAAAAGAATAATATTTTATGTTAAAGGTGCAGATACTGTTATGAGTAGTCTTGTATCCTATGTGGATTGGTTAGAAGATGAAGCTGGTAATTTGGCTAGAGAAGGATTACGAACATTGGTTGTCGCTTCGCGTACTTTAACTGAAGAACAATACTCAGATTTCGCACAACGGTACACATATATATTTCTAGTGTTCATTGTTTTTCATTTTATATTTTACATATATTTAAAATTACATATTTTCATGTGCTTGTTTCATGCGGTAATATATACTATTATATCTATCTGTACTGCTATTGCTCTTGTAAATTCAACCACTACCGATTTATGTTTACTAATAGTGCGATAGCAAGTGTTGTAAGTAGCTCATTTTAGTATTTGGCAGCTGGCAACCACCATATTAAGATCTTAAGATATACTGGTAGTCTATAATTAGGGTTTTCCAATTTCCCTAGGTAGACTAACCTTACCATGCCAGACAGGTCGGTTAAAGAGCGGTAAGACTAAAAGCAACAAACCTAAGGTCCGAAGTCGAAGTCGTACTGTTGACTGTACAGAGGTGTGACGGCAGTAAGGTGCTTCCAGCATGACAGCGATGCTGCCTTCCCACAAGGAGGGCTGGGGTTAGAAAAGGTCGACCCTAAAAATGCACACCTCGCCTTATCCCACAGATATCCGTCTTCGGCGGTAAGGTCTCGACATGTACGGAGCTGACACGGAAATTACCCACAAAATGGTCGTGTGTGACCGGCCTCAGGCAGTTGTCCCTTGGGCACTGCGGTCACGTTTTCAGGTCACTAAGACCACCTCTAATCCAATTTCCTTTTCATGTACCTCCAGAACAACCTTTCCACGGTGTGGGCAACGGTGATGTGATAACCGCCCTCATACTTATAACAGCAATCAAGACCACTGTTGTACACAATCTAAATGTGTGTACTATGAATCAGTTCATGCAAGAATTTCCATTACCATGTTTTGCTTAATATCAGTTTACATTCCCTGTATTTTACTTTATTTCTGAATTGCTTGTTTTCTTTTTTTTCACATGTAGATACCATAGCGCTAAAATGTCTTTAACTGATCGTGTCGAAAAAATGGAGTCAGTTGTAGCAACTTTAGAAACAAATTTAGAAGTTCTCTGTTTAACAGGAGTAGAAGATAAACTTCAAGATGGAGTAAGTTGATAGGAAGTAAACTGTTCATGTCAAATATTTCACTGTATATATAATACATATTAAAATTCTTCAAACTATAGTGTAGTGAGCGTGAACTCCGGACGTGTTGATTTCAAGTTTTATTACTATGGAGTTAAAACTACACGGGTTTTATATACAACTTTTAGATCAACATCAGTAGTTAAACATAATAATAAGGTTATATGGGTGCACAAGTTTGTTTTCTATTCAGATGTTGTTCTTTATGGTAGTAGAATAGATATATGGTTAGTCAGTTATACACAAAGCAGAACCTGGTATATGTGTACGTCAGTTCAAGTTCCCATACCCTCTATTGGCACAGAGATGAAATCGTCAGGGAATATCCAGTAGTAGTAGTACTAATAATAATAATAATAATAATAATAATAAATTCTCAGTGGTAATAAAAAAGACTAGGCATCTAAAAAACAATTTGAGGAGAAAATATGAACTAATCAGATAATAAAGGAAATTTTACGAGAAATTTAGAAACTTAGGATGGATGCATCTAGACTATTGCGATAGATTTTTAGCCATTCCATTTAAAGTCTTTAACTATTGGTTGCGATAATCATGCGGATCACAACTAGATAGTCTGTACCTACCTACAGTCAGTGTTTTCATGGACGTATGCAATGTTTTGGTTCGATCACCCCTAGCTTTCTTCCAATCTTCTCCTACACTCTCCAACATCGCGCGTCTGGGTAGCTGGTGAATGAACTGTGCCTAGGAAACTTAGCTCACTCTTGTACAATGTATAGGACTTTCAAATGGAACTTTGTATTAGTTGTTTAGAAATTCGCCTTCTTAGTACTAGACGACGATATACATTTTTATTTCTTGCGATTTCGTCCTAGTAATATTTTTATCTTTCGCCTTGATTCGATCCGAAGCAAAATTTATCTCACCTAATCGGTTGCTCTACGTTTGAACTCAAGATATAAATGTTTAGATGGAAGTATAATCTGGGTTGAATTGTTATAGATCACAGAGTTCTTTTGAAATGTAGGGATTGATTTCATTGTAACTTCAAGGGTTGCTTTTAGATAATCAACTTCTCATAAGTATTTGCACTGCATTCATCTATGTTGTTTGTGATGTACAGATCTTATCTGCATTAGGGTCCATGCAAGTATCTGACTGAATTAACACTGTCCACTGCATATTCTACTCTCTCTCCCCGTGATTATTACTGAACTAGTATTGTGGTGCGTGCCACTTATATTTCTATAAGTAGTATATCACGCGAGTTAAAACGTAATGTCTGGCAGCAGGAGATGAGGGGAAGATCAAGAAAGGAAGAGCGAGAACACAATGGAATTTGTAAGAAAACGCGTGAACAATGGAATGGGATTGGTGATTGCAACGGAAAACAGTCCAGTTTGATATGATGCATTGATATTTTGCAAATTGACGATTGACTTTATGGTATTCAGATTTTATTGGGATAGTCTGTAATTTTTGTGCTAAATACAGCCGGTTGTCTTCACCTGTGTTCTCCTTCACAACAGTATTACCTAATATTTCAAACTCAAAATGTAATGAGACAGGCCTCAAAACCCAGATCCTGTGTTGGAAAGTTAGTAGTTAAGCAATAGAGTTGTGTTACAAATAATGCCTAAGTATATGAATAGTCGATTAACTTAGTTATTATTTCTGATTATTCTGTTAAGAAGCTTTTCTGTATATGTTTCGTAAACTTTCGTGCCAAGTAGCACTTGACTTTATATTGCTAGTACTTTTTCTACTCAGGTATTTGCCTTGATAATCATTTATCTCGGTGTACTAATGTGATATGGAAACTTGAACCAATGCAGATATGTGCCAGTTTCTACATTACACCTGACTGATAATAACATCCACAATATACTTTTGTAGTGTCTCCATTCTATTCGATTGTATATTTTGTTTTTCTTTCTAAAAAATATTTAGGTTCGTCCTGCATTAGAAGCATTAAGAAATGCTGGTATACGTGTTTGGATGTTGACTGGGGATAAACTTGAAACAGCTGCATGTATCGCTAAATCTTCTCGTTTAGTCAGTCGTGATACACCTATGTATATATTTAAATCAGTTAGTGGTCGAATGGAAGCTCATTTAGAATTGAACGCTTTTCGTAAACGTTGTGATCATGCCTTATTGATAACTGGAACATCAATGGAAGTAAGTAAATTTGTTTTCTCACTATCTCACGTATATATTATTTATTGTTTTCACAAGTTATTGTGATTGTTATAAACCGAGCACATTGTTTGTTTGTACAATCAGTATATTATCCCTCATGATTGCATAGTTTTTTAGTTAACGAAAGCAGTAATAAACATACGTGGTAACATCTGGAACACAAGTACCTCAGTCTTAGTTCTAGATAGCTATTCATTGTGACATCCTTGTTCTGACTAACCACTAGCTACCCACATTACATATCTCACGACAATTTTATATGTTGTCCCAGTTATATATCGTTTCTCTAATGGCATACTTAAAATAGCTGGAAAATGTGAATAAAATATTGCTTGTCGTGTAGTAGTCATTTTATGCTTGTTAATGTATTCATTTTGTCTACAAAAATTACATAATAGCAACTGAACTGATTACGTGAATACCATGGTACACCTCATCTAGTGTTATGCGTCTGATGATAGTCATTTGTTGTATTGTTGTATTGTTCAAATTGAATTACACGAAATCAATTTCCAATCTGTAGTTTATTATTCGAAATTCGATATTTGAAATCTGTAATGGCTGCTTAGGTTTGGGCACTCGGTCAATATCACAGCCCTCACACACAACAATGATAACTACTAACTGGCCTCATTGTTACTGTGTGGTGCATTGTTTATGTGTTCAAATAAATAAATCAATAAGTAATAAAACATGTCTCTTTTACTAATGGGGGGTTGGTTGGTATGTCTTTATTTTCAAAGTAAATCACTTTCTGTCTGAAGTTTATCAACATTTTTCTCAACCCTTACAAGTTGGGCACTTATAAGGAATATACATACTTCTTCAGGTTTTGTAGTTAGTTTCCAGTAATGATGATTTACTATGAATATAGTATAAAACGATACAAGCAATAGACTTGAATATTTCACAATTTTTTAAACTTAATGCAAACAATGTTAGATAATCGGTGGGTTTTAGTTATTGCATTTTTGTTGTTGTGATAACAAGGAAGATAATTCATGAATTTAACCCTGTTTTATTTGTAACTGTCGGAAAGGCATAGTGACTATTTTTGTCTAATAATATAATAATAACTCTTATATACACTGTATTTTCTCTTAGTGATATATATGTCTGTTTGATTTACACACATGTGTATTATATAAATTTACTGATATTGACCGTAGTTATCATGTTTTTTTGTGTTTTTTTTCTGTGTATAAGACATGCTTAAGATTTTATGAACATGAATTTGTTGAATTGGCAAGACAATCACCGGCTGTAGTTGTATGCCGTTGTTCACCGACACAGAAAACACAAATTGTCACTTTATTAAGATATCATACAAAAGCAAGAGTAGCAGCTATCGGTGATGGAGGCAATGATGTTGGCATGATTCAAGCATCTGATCTTGGTCTTGGTCTTTTAGGTAAAGAAGGTCGACAGGCTAGTCTAGCATCTGATTTCAGTTTAGCACAATTTAAACATGTTACACAATTGTTACTTGTTCATGGAAGGAATTGTTATAAAAATACTGCTGCATTGGCCTTGTTTGTTATTCATCGAGGTAAGTATTCTATACCTATATGTATGTACTTATACATGTAATAGTAACAAGCTGAAGAGAATGTTTGAATAATAATGTGTTTTTATGTTTGTGAATTAACGTTGTCTGTGATTGAATAAGTTACTGAAATTTTCTTGTAATAGAATAAACTGAACAGGATGCACTCAGACAATCGGCTTCTATTACCGATTCATTGAATATTGTTTATATTGGTATTATTGAGGTAGAATAATCCTTAGAATAGTTCAACTGAAAGGTGGCTTTTGTATACTCAAAGTAACTGATTGTTATTTTGAGTTGTTTTAGTTTGCATTATAGCCTGTCTGTTGTTATACTTATAAAATTAACAATTGAATATACTTGGCGAATTCAAACCAAGGGGCTTCTGTGTCATTTTTACCTTTGCTTTTGTCTATTTAATGATGATGTAGTGGGAGTAGTTAATGATTATTATGATTTTGTATCTTGTTAACATCTTAACAGGAACGATTAAAACATTAGAGTTTCAGATTAATCTATGGTAAATTCTAATTATGAACGTTCGAGAATGTTTTTAATATAACTACTCGACAAATAGAAAGTCGAATAGACCGGACATTTGTCAGACAACAATATTTCAATGTTAATAATTCACACATTAATCATTGAGAAGACAGGACTTTCAAGAGCGCTTTATATTCTTTACAAAAGTCAAATTTGAAAGTGAATAACTCTGTTTTTATGGTAATATTCAATGAACTTGAAATGGTGGAGAAGATTTGTAGCTCAGGTGGATGATTTTGATCGAGTTTTTTTTCTCTGAACTGGATGTTGACCTTAAACCTGCCAATGGTCAACAACAACTAATCAAGATTGAGGTCTACAGGACAAGATGTAAACCACATGTAGAGAAGTTCGACCACTTCCCTTCTACCTGAAGTTTGTGCTGATGATGTTGTTCAGAAGAACGATGAAAAGCTCCACAACCAAACCATCCAGTTCAGAGAACAAAACTCCATCAAACTTCAATGAACTTGGAGTACATAACAAAGTTAACAAACTATAAGCAATGAGAACCAATTTAGATAACAATATATATGTTCCAAATCCTTCATAACAATGATTTCTAATTAATTAATACTGTTTTTTTTCCTTTTAAACTGTTTAATAACTAATCCATTGTGCTTTACAGTTTTTTTATTGAGTATTTTCAACTACAACATTCATCTTATTTCTTCTTCTTCTTCTTCTTCTTCTTCTTCTTTTTCTTCTTCCTGTATTAACTTACAACAACAACTTAGATCGTTTTCTAAATTATATTTCTAGTACATTTTGGCTTTAAGAAATAAAATACGATCGATTTGTTTGGTAGTGTATGTTTTGTTTTTCTTTCATGAATGTAATCTAATAAAAATATATTTAATACACATTATAGATTAAAAACAAACAATGTTTCTGGTTATGTTTATTACTGTGTTCCTGTAGTAACATCATTGATTTTAGGGTTGTTAATCATTGGTAATAATTAGATTTTCAATGTTTGTCTAACTTAAATAATCAGTATAGGGTTGTGAAGATTGTTGAGTTTGGATTGATATCATGAATGGATCAATGTTAGACCATCTTTGAAAACTTGGTAGCACTGGAAGGCCGTTTCGTCATAGTATGGGACTATTCAGTAGTGAGCTTCCACGATCCCTCACTCCGTCCAGTGATTCCAGATTTTCAGTGGTCTAACATTAATCCATTCATACTATCAATCTAAATTCAACAATCTTTACAACCCTATACTGATTATTATCATGTGTTCCGTAGTAACTGGCCTGAAGATAGATTTCCTGGAGTTTTAGTGAAAAGCTGTGACCAGTGGCACACAACCGTGTCTCTTGTGAGGCAGTTACTCAATGAAGACAATGGTGGACGGTGGAGCAATATCGTGGATTGGTGGACGTCAGACATGAACACCGTTGGGTGCCGGTTCAGTGTTCTAGGGCTCCAGGATCCTGAGGGAACAAATGGTGTATGAAATAATTATTCGTCACTGGCTACCATAGGAATGGATCTTCCTACGTTGTTCCACTGCCTTGTGGATCAGACTTTTCGATCGAAGACTCCGAGTGTGGCCCCCTAATAAAACCATGTGTTTCGGTTTGGGCACCCAGGCAGTATCAAAGCCCTCACACAAATCAATGATCAATATTACTGGCCCTCTTGTACCACTGTTTATGTGTTCAGATAAATAAATGAGTAAAATTAAATAGTTTAATATTGGATATTTCATCTTCAGTAATACCTAGATGATTAATATTAGCCAAGACAAGCGAGCTCATTAGAGAGTTTCCCCCTTAAGTCTTTATTTAACTACACATCAATTGTGTTACGAGTTACATTTTATTAATCCAGATATGAAAACAATTGGTATTGGATTGATAACCACACCCGTAGTTTTAGGGAGTTGCGTAAAAAGTCATTTCCAAAATCAATAGCTTTATTTCCTTTCTAGTTGTGTTGTTTATAGCCTCAAGGATTAAGTTTACCCATTTCATACTCAAACTTGTGATAAATTCAGATCTTAGGATTTATTTGGTGCATCATGATTTGATTATCACGGTTTTCTATCTTTTAGCTCATATTACCTACAGTCATCAAGTAGTTTTTTTCTAACTGCTTATACTCAATTAACAATGGTCTGTTTGGGTCATTAAAAAAACACTCATTTAGTTGGTTCACCTCTTATCGGGAAACAAACTCTTGCTAAATCCAGTGCTTCCAGGTTTTCCATGGTGGTCTAGCTTCGACTGACTCATGATTTCAACCATTTAAATTCATAATTATCTCTTGTGCTACTTAATTGAACTAAGTAATATGAGTTATTTAATATTAAGTTGTAGAACCACGTCATTTGAAGAATAAATAAAATCAGGTAGCGCTGGACATAAGTATGTCGGTCTTATTTTGATGAAGTATCGATCTTAACTTCGGAATTGCCTGACAGTGTGTGCTTATTCGTAATTATTGACATAGGACTGAACTTAGGGTCATTCAGATCTCACTACGATAGCGATGTGCAGCAGTGAGTTATAATCTAACAATCCACATGTTCAACTCTCATCAGTTTATTGTAGAGCTTAACTATAATACTGTCATCCCTAATAACGACCGTGTTTCGGACATGGCTACATTTTGTCAACGAATAGCATTTTCATTTTATCTTGAAGCTTACTAGTTTCATCTACAACATTGTTCCTTTTCATTTTAGGTTCCATTATCACAGTCATGCAAGCGATATTTTCAGCCGTTTTCTATTTTGTTGCAATACCGTTATTCCCAAGTTTTCTATATGTTGGTTATGCCACAGTGTTCACTATGTTCCCTGTATTTTCATTGGTGCTTGATAAGGATGTACCGGATCGTATTGCTCTAACTTACCCTGAATTATATAAAACTTTACAGAAAGGTCGTGAATTAACTTTTAAAACTTATTTCATCTGGCAGTTGATTAGTGTTTATCAAGGTTAGTATATATATATTCGAATACATTGATAGCACCTTGTTTATTCATCATGATGTGTAAAGTTTATTATGATTCATAATAAATTGAATAGGTTGGTTTATTTTAGCATAGTATGCTCCTTATGAGAATATGTCAGTGCTCATGGTAATGATTTGTTTTGCAGGCTGTTAAACGTTTAGGGAAAAGAATTTTTCTGTGTTCTTAATTGTTGAGTATACTTATTGAATTGAACATCTTTCAATTTGATTATTTATACACTATCTGAAGTGGATGGTTTTTGAAAACGTCACATTCATTTTCTGAAAGTTTATACTGTAGAGTTGTCAATATTGATTTTAACACTACTTCGTTTCCTGTTTTTAGCGGTTTGACTATTTGTGAAACTTTCACCTCATTCTGATCTGAGATGTATTATGCTGAGGAATATAAAGGTTCTTCTGACAACAACATCATACTTTTAATTTTAATATTCTTCCTATCATATCTAGACAGTGCAAGTAGAAAAAAAAGCGTAACTTAGGAATCCTTTAAAGTGTATGTTTTAACTTAGATGATAGACAGATGGACATCATGAACATAGAGCCCGGCACACATATTTGTTGACCCAACTGGAGGTGCGAATCCTTATTTTGCGCGTAAATTTTGTTGTAAGATTTAAATGATATGGTTCCTTTCACTTCGATTAAAAAGTCCTTGATTCATATGATATAACCATTCATAAATCATCATTGAATTATCTCATTCACAATTTCTTTGTTAAATATCTCTACTGAAAGATCGAAAGTTCTGGGTTCTGAACTGTAAATGTTCACTCTTGTGGAGTCCTATACAAGGACGAAATAATCATCCAGCGCTTCCAGGTTTTCAATAGTGGTCTAACTTAGATCGGGTTCATAATTCCAATGAAACTCAACAATCTTTATAACCACATATTGAATTATTCTCATTGTTTCATTTATTTAGGTAGTGTTATCATGTATGGTGCATTGTTACTTTTCGAAGATGAATTCATTCATGTAGTAGCTATCACATTTACAGCTTTATTATTAACAGAATTACTTATGGTAGCTATTACCATACGTACATGGCATCTTCTAATGATTTTAGCGGAAGTTATCAGTTTAGCAATTTATATAATGGCTTTGATTGTCATGAAAGCATATTTTGGTAAGTGTATACTTCTTTCGTTTTCCCCGTTTTTTTTAAAAATTATGTATGTATTAATCAGATATATTTCGATAGAACAATGAAAAGATGGAGTTGATCTGGCTTCTTATTGGATTTATTTGATCCCGTTATTCACTAACTTGATTTAAGTCGGTAATTCTATACTAGAATAGTCAGGATATATATTTCGACAACAGTCATTCATAACAGGATCCAATTGGAATCGGATAAGGGGATCACAAAAAACATATCAAATGGAATGTTTAAATAAGAATCAATGTATTTGTCTTCAGTGTATTTTTCTTCCTAATTTATTACTGTTATGATATTTTGAATATGTAATTGTGTAAATGAATAAATACTTCATTAGTCTAATATGTATAATGTCAACTAATTATGTTGCATTATATATAAGACACTTTTAAACTTTAGAATATACTATACTATCTTGTTGTTAACTAAAACTATCAGGACAAATCAATCAAATTCCAAGTTTGTACCTATTGAATTTGTACACAAAATTCATCTATCCATATGGTAGCTACACAATTATTTGTTTATTTATTTCTATTTCAACACATAAATATTGGCATAAGGAGACACCGAATACATATTCGGGCTGTGATACTATCTGGGGGCTGAAATTCAAACAGATGGAGCCAGAACCGGAGCCTTCGACATAAAGATCTAGTCCACAAGGCAGTGGAGCAACGTAAGGAGATGTAGTCACGTGGTAACCGGTAACCAATAATTGGTTCATACGCCATTTGTTCCTTCAGGATCGTGGAATAAAGGTTTTGCAACTCACCTAGGTGAATCCTCTGTGTCCACCAACCCGGTTAAAGCATCGGGCATTCGCTTTTCGTCTTCTTAATTTCGTAAACAACACCCGTGGTGCGATAAGGGAGTGAGTAGGACTTTCTTGGAAGTGATTGTATGCACGTGGCCATGTGTGAGCATTTGGAGAGGGAGAGTTGACTCTCCCCACTCTCAGCCGTACCAGGGCATTTGTGGGTTTAACAATCGAGACTACACAATGTTCTTGCATTATAGTTGATATCATTTTGTTATGAAACATTTAAACTTGATTTCTAACTCTAATTACTAATTTTGAATCTACTACACTTATACTTAATCCTATTTCAAATCAGGTAAATGGTTGAGATTTATCCAATAGCGTTTTTGGAAATTACTTAAAGGTTGTCCTATACTTTAGTCCCACTACTTTTTCAAGTTTAATTCATTTGACTCATAATCAGATTTTTATATTTAATCCTACAAAATAATTCGTTTGTTGTACCCAGCAAAGTTTTCAGTTCTTATCCATGTATTCCGTGAATTTCAGTAGACATGTATACATAAATGACTAAAAACCATTGACTTTATGGGTTTATTACACACATAAAATTACCCTTGCTTACTCTAAACACAATTTCTTATACTAAACCAAAGGCAGTATTTTAAGTAATGCACTAATAAATGATTGTTCAAATATTCGTGGAGGATTCGTATTTACATTTTGTAACTCTCTGGTTAAAATTTGTGTTCCCTCAACTCATACGAGATTCTAATTCATGTGATTTACTTTAAGATACAGTCTAAACTTGAGAGCTAATGATGCTATCCGGTTACTGAGTTCGAACCTCTCACGTAGTGTTTGCAAGTCAAACAACTTTATCAATGAGTGATCTCTTGTAAACACAGTCTCTACACTTCTTATACCTTTTTAAGGTTAGTTTATACAATCGATGTTGTGAGACAGGACTGTGACACAGGGTAATACGGATGTAGTGGAGTAAGTGATCTACTATGTCAAGCAAGTGACTTTCGATCATACATATGAATTTCAGTCCATACGAGTTCTTCGTATAATTAATTTAAAATGACATCCACCATACAAACTTTTATCTTGTTTTTTCCTGTAATGAAAACCATCAACACAGTATTTCAGTAATATTGATTCGAAGTCGATATTGTCCTTCAGTACCACAGTCACAGATCAAATCACTGAGTTACTTCATTCTAACGGAATTATATGCTCGATTACAAGATGATTGTTTGTAGCGTTTAAAACACTTAACTTTCAATTAATCTGTATGACTAATTTGATTCTAAGCAGTCAAATAGTATCACGTTAGCTCTCATACAAATGACTTTCAATTAATTAATAATTTAAACTATTTGTTTATTGTGTTATAAGTGAACGTTTATTTCAAATGGATACCATATTAGAGTAAGACTGTATTGAATTAAAAATTCCAAAGAGCATCGGTTGAATACAACATAACATTCTTTTATATTCCATTATCGATTAGTTCAGATTAAAATCCTCCTCCTCCTCCTCAACATCATCATCCTACTGATTGTACACATTCTGTTTCATTTTGATTATTCCAATCATTGTAACCATTTATAATCCTTTCAATTTTTATTTGTTTTATTAATTGATTACAGATTCAGTATTTCTAAGAACAATTGGATTTGTTTGGAAAGTATTAGCTATCACTGGTGTCAGTTGTATACCAATATTAATATTGAAATTTATTCATTATAAATTTAGACCATCGATTTATTCAAAACTACAATAGAATGTTATGTTCTTCTGTTGAATGAATTCATCCATCCACAAACACACACACACACACATCCATTGAATTCTCTATCAATGACAAATGAACTAGATTTTCACAAACATTTTTTTTTTCTAAAAAGTCATTCAGTTACTACTTAAATTTTGTTATTTTTTATGTAACTTTTTATTTTTCAACTCATGTCCTGTAATGAATAACTACGATTTCAAGATGTTATTGATGATGATCGTGATGATGCTGATGATGATGATGATGTACGACTCTGACATGCCTAAATTGTTGTAAACATTGTGATCTTTTATACACCATCGTCCATATCTTTATCTATGTGTAAACCTAAAATCGGTTACACATTTTCTTTCATTCTTCTTTTCTTTGTTGTAACTTTCTTTTTAAACTTGTGATTGATTTTTTTTTAATCAGAGAATAGATGATACAACATTTGTTTATCAACATAAGTACAATGTCGTCTCTCTTTTTTTCCCTTAGAACTGGCATATATCTATGCGAACAATTCAACACTGAGAGAAAAAATTAGTCGAACAAGAGTTTAACAATTATTCGTCAAGATTGATTGAGTATTGATCATTATTGTTGTTACTGTCACAGATCCTACACACTACTATTACTACTACTACCTATGCTACTGTCATCAAATAAAAACACACAAAGTGATTATGATGCCTGTACTATTTGTATGTATGTGTAAGGTGCACGCTATTTGATGATTCTTATCTATCTAATGTAACCAAATTTTTTATTTATTCATGTTGTTTCTTGATCTTTGATTAAGTTGTGTGCTATTCATTTCGCTTCTCTTTTTTTTTAAAAAAAAGGCTGAAAGAAAACGTTTTATTTATTGTCATTGTAATTTCTTGTTGAATAAATTCATTATTGATGTGCATCGCATGTTTTGGCATCCAAACGGATCAGTATCATAGTTATTGTCAAAATGGTATATTATGTATGTATGTATGTATGTATGTGTGTGTGTGTGTATGCATGTACACATTGTCTTCATTCACACTTTCTACTCATTAAATTGGGTCAATTGTTATTCATGATATTGTATTGGTTATATAGATTTATGGAAAACCACATTTTAGTTATCATAGTGACATTGTAGTAGTATAACTGATAAAAATAAACCAATATAATGTCACAGAGATAGAAGGAATTCGAATTACGTTATTATAGTTCTCAAAAGTTTGTAAAAGAGGACGTTTTTATCATTAATAAAGAAGTTAGGATATGAGTAATCTTTTTTAGTGTTCAATTATGATCGTATTTCACCATGTTGAAGTTATATTCAGCTCAAGTGATGGATACATTGTTTACAATTGAAAAGCTTATCTCGTAAAGCCTATTTAATCGAAATATATCGGTTGTGTCAGTGATTATAGTGAACGATCATCATAGTTTGTAACTTTAAATGATCTTAATCAAACTCTTCACTTTATCTATTTTGAAAAAATTCCATCAAAGTTGGATCCCGAGGTTGCATTCTTTTTTCTTCTTACGTGTTCATTCTAAATAGAGACTTACTATCTTAGTTATACTACACAGATCGCACTTTGTAATCACTGATAAAATGCTAAGTCTACTGGATCCCCTGAGTAATCATGTTGACTTGTTTAGAATGCGTCTTTTTCCTTCTAAATATGAAGTATTGTTTCTGGACTTGTCTGCCCCAAGCCCTAGTTTGGGTATAGTAAGTGAAGTTGACTTACCTATTATAAGAGTCTGACTGGCTTGTTTTGATGAGTACACAATCTCCACATGGATTTAAAAGGCTCATTTGTCTTTTGCCAACTAAGTCATTCATATTATTGGCAAGATATCATAAATTTGATTTAGTTGAAGACGTAAATATTGATACAAAGGGGCACCGATTACATATGCGCCACACAATTCATTTGATTTGTGTGTGGGCTGTGATACTGCCCGGGCGCCCAGACTGAAGCAGGTTGTTTTCTTAGAGGGACCACACATGGAGCCTTCGACCTAGTGGTCTGATCCACAAGGTAGTGGAGCAACATAAGGAAATACAGTCCCATGATAGCCGGTGACCAACAATAGGTTCATACACCATTGGTTTGGAATGAGGGTTTCTAACTCCTGTGCGTGGATCCTCCGTATCCACCAACCCGGTTATAGCATCGAACATTCTCTTTCCGTCCTCCCAATTTCGTAAACAACAGTAATGCCGCGAGAATGTAGTGAGTAGGACTTACATGGGAGTGGCTGTATACGACTGGCCATGTGGGAGCATTTCGAGGGGGAGAGCTGACTCTCCTTACCCTCGGCCGTACCAGGGCATTCGGGTTTTTTCCTTTTTTCCGCACTAGCAGTCGAACACGGGCCGCCTGAATGAAAGCCAGAAATCCTAACCGCTAGACTACGCTTGACCGCTGAACTTTGATGATAACCGACCAGAGATTTAGAGAAACACTGAAAGAGATTACTTCTGAACACTTACTATCATTTCGATCATTGATTTTTAACATTAATATGAGTAACCCCATGAAATCCTCATGATTTTGGTAGAGTTGGTATCTAGAGAATAACTTACATTGATTGTTATAAACCTGTTTATAATTCTTCTAGACATCATTATTTTTGGAGTCAAGTAAATATTTATTAATAATGTTAGTGGTTGATACTAATGTATCACTCACTCGATGTTTATCGATTAATAGTTTTCATAAAAGACGATTGACCACCTATATCTTAATACAGCCTACGGAGTATTGGTGTTCATCTGATAATTATTTTGTGGATCTTGTACTACTTGTCATAATCTAGTAGTATGAAAACTTACTCAAAATATTTAGGTCATTTTCTTAAGCAACTAGTTGTAACCACTTCTAAATAGTATTTTATCTGTTTCGTATGGTATAAACGTTATAACTATATGATTATACTGACAATTGAGTTTTTCGAAGTAAAGTCTAGGGACTGTCCAGCTGACGAGTCCCAAATAGGACGAAATACGAATCCTGAATTCCACTGCCAGCCACTATCCATCTTTGCTTAAAAAGCTTGTGAATTGGGGCAATATCGAAGCAGTCCTTACAGGTTACACATATGCCAACACGAGACTGAACAATTGCAGTCTTAAATGACAATTGGAAGATACAATTGAAACAACACCAAGTGAATTTAACCAATGTTTGTTCCTATTTATGTGACTGCTTTTTTTCAGAGTACAGGAGTTATGATCTCCTGTTGGCTGATTTTCTCCTAATCTGATTAATTGATGGGCCAAGCGGCTTTATGGTGATCGATATTTATAAATAAATTGACTGACAGAAACAATCTTTCTTCAGCTCATATAATCAGTGAATAACGATTATTATGATCAATTTCAAAGATAGCTGTGTACTGTTCTTCCTACCATCACGTTAAACCAATGGTCCATGTAATATATCCTCTGGATGCTAATTCATTATGATTGGAATACTTTGGTATAGAATACATTCTCTACACCTGATCAAGATTTCTTGATCTAGCTATCAGGGCCGGGGACAACGGATTAGAATAGCCTTTCGTGTCACTATATCTTTGACCTTCGTTCCGTTTACCGAGTAAGGTGAACTCGTAAAAGCATTCAAGCATATCGACTATAATTTATGGACGAACTTTGAGCAACTCTAAAGTGGCCTTGAGAATGTCCACTGGGGCTAAATGAGTGTTTTAAACCTGAATGAAGGTTAAGGATTGTGATTTACAGTTGACAGTTAGGGATAGGGATTAGATTTATAGTTTTCATCATAAACTGACATTAGCTAAAATATCAAGATGCTATTTAGCAAAAAGGATAAAGAATTTCACGTGGAAATCCAAGATCTGTTACCATAAATCTGTTTGATTCATCCATAAATGATAGTCTCGCCGAAATTATTTACTGTTCTATTATTATTCTACATAATGAGCAATATATCATAATTGTATGTTGGTACTGGTTAGTTCAATCAGTTTTTTTATTAAAAAAGACGTCCGTTACCTTATTACATTGATATCTTGGTAACTGTTAACCGTCTTTTCTGAATACAGAGAAAGTTGAATAGAAAACAACAATAAACATCACAATTATCTTATTTTATTCATTATTATAATGATTATGTAGAATCTCATACAAACAACATTGACATGTACACATAAGTGCACACAACCAGCTTTCTTTCTTTCTTTTTTTTCTTTCTTTCTTACAATAGTTGCCTTATTACTTAAGTTAGATAGAATGTGTATTACAAACATTCACATAGAGATATACATGAGCACATATTTAGTAGTAATGACTATCTAATACTTTAGCAAAGTAACTAAAATAATAGAATTTAATAATGTTTTATCATAAATAAATGTGGCATTCGACATTTTTGTTAGAACTAGAATTCGCCTGTATTTATTATTGGTTTACTAAACATCATCAAATCGATAGCCATATATGGTTGTTGTTAAGTGAGACAATAAATATAAACTACAGTATGGTGCAATTAGTAATTCTAGCACTTATCAGAACATCCTCCAGTTTAATAAAAACAACAATTAATCTTTTGACGTTGTTTTACTCAATTCACTTGATTTTTACAAAATGTCAGAAGATGAAATAAGTGCACTTGTAATTGATAATGGATCCGGTATGTGTAAAGCTGGATTCGCTGGTGATGATGCACCAAGAGCTGTATTTCCATCAATTGTTGGTCGTCCAAGACATCAAGGTGTTATGGTTGGTATGGGACAAAAAGATAGTTATGTTGGTGATGAAGCACAATCAAAAAGAGGTATTCTAACTTTGAAATATCCTATTGAACATGGAATTGTTTCGAATTGGGACGATATGGAGAAAATATGGCATCATACATTTTATAATGAATTACGTGTAGCCCCAGAAGAACATCCTGTCCTACTTACTGAAGCACCAATGAATCCTAAAGCAAATCGTGAAAAAATGACACAGATTATGTTTGAAACATTCAACAGTCCAGCCATGT